ATTCCATAATGTAATTAAAGCCGGATACCGACGCAGAGTGGGAAAATTGTTTTCGGTTGAAAATACTACATCGGCGACGCGAAATTAGTTAGAACCGCAGCCAGGACGGGGTGTCCAAAGTCGCATAAATCGATTCGGAGGCGCTCGTAAATCAGTCTTCGAGATTTAGTCTCTCTAGCAGTTGTTCGACCCAGTTCTCGCCCCGTCGCTGAGAGGACGATTGGACGATTCTTATTGTCGGGCAGTTTTAAAATGGATGACAGGGATTGAATAAGCGAATCGACGCGAATAAACAATTGCTAAACATTTCGCATTGGTCGACAACAGGAACGCCGGGCCATTTATTTGATTAAATAAATAAAAAGGTTAAAAGAGGACAATGTATTTTTTTAAAATAATTTTTCGTTAAAGAGACCTTTATGCGTTAACAACGATACACATAAAAATGTGTACATACACAAAAGGTTTTCATATTTTGTGTGGGAGACTTGTCTCAAACATATGAAAACGTTTTATTAATATTTTGTTGAAACATTCGCAGAATGCGTCCATAAAAAAATAATATATATATATTTATATAGTGGAAAAAATAGCTTTTAAATACACGTGTTTCAATTTGCTTTCTGAAGCTGCGATCGCGCTGTAATCTCCAATCGGGCGAATGCGGCGGACATGCGTATTAATTATAATTACACGAAATCCTTTCCAGTTGTTTCGTTGTAACGAACGCGATGCACGTTAGCGAGAACGTTATGAAATTCCACGTTTCTTTGACGTCATTACCGCTCGTCAAAGATCCGCATGAAAATTCGTGGGAGCGGCATCATCAAGATTGAATTCCGTAATTCCTGCACGGGCAAATATTTGCACGGCTGAAAATCACGCTGATGGCGCCTGGTATGCTTGGTAATTGACCGCGAATATACGAGTACGCATAAAATTTCTTCGCGTGGATTCATTGCTGAAAGAAAGAAAAACTACTCGCCATAAAATAAATTTACGAAAATTAATATCTCCGTCGTGCTACACGAGAATAAATGCACATTTCAGAGATTTAATCTTTCACAATGCCCAATGATAAGTGAATAAAATAAATCGTTTTAATTCAATGTTCGTCAAAAATCTGAAATAACTGCTGGCAGTCAGTGATACCGACACAATTTTTATATCACGTTAGTATTAATGACGCGAGAAACACCAATTGTTTTAAGTAAACCTTAAAAATGTTCCATTGCATTGGATCCTTAATTTTTTCTTTTCCTATCTCTCTTTCTCTCTTCTATAATAAATTAATGATTTTATATCCCATTATCGAGATGATTCACGAAACAACGCGCTCAACGGATGGAGATGATGAATTTTTACCCTCATAATTTTGAACGAGACTGAAATAAAAGACGGGATTTGATAATGCAACTTTAGCCCGGCAAGGTCGAGTGTCTAAAAGGGAAGAAACGTATCCTTTGACTTAACACGTGACTCTGAGGCGATACAGTGATTTTCCGGGACGATAACCGTGATTTTCAGACGAGGCCGTCTCTCGGTAAGCGTGAGCCGAAGTCAGTTGAACGACCGGTAGACACCTTTTGATGTCGAATCACTCTCTTTCCTCCTCTGTCGGTTCGTCTCTGCTCCCGCGCGCGCGCCCGTGGCGAACCTGCTGGAAGGTTCCTAGGGCGCGGCGCGAACACACTCGGCTGCCGCATACACTTTATTCCCAACCCATCGTTCCGTTCCAGCGATTTCGAATTCCCGAACAAATTTGATCGTCGTCGTCGTCGTCTAGTCGAGCTCGCATCTCTACGTGACGGGAAAATCGCGAGCTTGCTCGCGCGTCGGAAAGCCACTTCTCCTCTCTCGTCACCCCTCTCTCGCCCCGGCATATACACCCTCATCTGCCATCTCCTCCCCGTCCCGCGGCTCGTCCCTTACCGCTATCTCTCTCTCGTCTGCCACACGTGCTCCTCTCTCTACTCTCGTATTTTCCTACTTCTCGCGCTTCGTGGTTCTACTTTCGCACGCGCGATTGTGCCCTGACGACTTTATGGCGGGTCCTCGGCGGAATCCCAAACGCGGCACGTACGCCAAGTTACCGATTCGAACGGGGGCGAAAGCTCGAGGAGGCGCGAGATGACTTCTCGGTCCATTCAACGGGCAATCTCACGGCAATCTCTCGTACAACATAATTTCGCAGCCAGTGATACCGCTCAGCAGCTTCTTTCGAAGTTGTGCTAAGCTGCGTGGTTCAATAGCACCAGTTAATTCTATTCGCATCAATCTCGTTTACAAACTAGTGTATCTTGTTCAGTTATGAAATATATTATCGCAGGCATTACCTTCTTATCGAAGCATACATATTTACGACTTAAAACGTCTTTAGGTATCGAGGATTAATTAAAACTTTTTCGAAATCTGAAATTTGAAATCTGAAGGGCCAGGCACTATCGGCCGATCGGGGATTGACGTTGAGAATTCGTAAGCAGATTTAATACGCAATAACGCTACGGTGAATAATTAACGCGATATCCGTGGGCGTTGATTAAATTTCACGCGTCGGAGAAGCAAATTCATAAATATCCGCAGCTGCGCCATTTCCGACAAAGGCGGCTGCAACTTACGACGACGTAGCGAAAGAAAATTAATGACTACAAAAGATTACTCTCCGGACTCCGCGGCTGTCCGATGAAATATCATAAATCGCGGGCTCGCTACGTCTGAGAAGTTTTCATAGCCGACCGCTTTCGTCTCCCTCCCTTTTCTCTCTTACTCTCTCGCCCACTGCCTCCCTCGATTCCACCTCCTTTCCGCGTCTCATTCTCATTACGAAGTTCCCGGTCATCAAATTTTATTAGCCCCCACTTCAAGAGCCGGCCCGCCTTACTTCTAACTCAATATCGTAGATTCGTAGTCTCGGTTTAACTACCCTCCCATCCTCCCGCAGCAGCGCAGCGCACACGGAAGCACACCTACACACATTGCCGTGGCTGTTTTCCGTCTCTTTCTCCCTCTTTCTCCCCCCTCCCTTTCTCTCTTCTCACCCTCTCCAGCATGCGCGCTTTTCTCCTCGCATCTCTCACTCGCCTTCGAATGCAAGCGCAGCGAGCGACTTTGAAAGCGGCAATAATTCCGTGCTCTACGGCCAAGAACTAATTTCCACTAGGTCTGACAGGGGGTACTGCGGGGGAAGGAGGTCGGTCGAGAGCGGGCAAGGGAAGACGAAGGGTGGTCTCACCTTCGGGGCTCTCCTTCCGACTTCTCTCGTTCCTCACGGACGGTTCGTTTTCTCGCGCGCCCTTTTATCGCCCGACAATGGTTCGCCGGGGTATAGCCACCTCGGCCCTACGTGGTCAAGGGTCGCAGCCAATAAACTTTGCCAGCGAGCTACTAACCTACGTGTCGGTCGAATCCGTAGAAAGATGGCAAGACGGCGACATTTACGGATGGCAAGGAAAGGGAGGAAGGAAAGGATCGGGAGAGGCCTTTCTGACGGCGCCAAGTTTCCGCTTCGCGTCCTTTAATTGCGACGGCCGGAATTGGAACTAACGACTTTCTTTCGGTAACGTTTAAAAGCCACGGCGACGCTGCTGATGTGACATTTACGGACGTGATACCGGAACGGTATCACCTCTGCGTTTTACCATGTTCGAAAGACTGACGGCCGGCGCCATTTAGAAACGCTGTCGAAAAACGAACAGACGGTAGAATGTACAGTAATCGACGGGCAATTACAGCTATCACAGACGACTCGAAATGATAGGTACAGAATATTTCGTTTCGCAAAAAAATCTCGTATTTTGTAAAGAAATACGTGGTATTTTGTGACGCAATACACGTACGCTGAATAGCACAATTATTGATACATCTCATAATGTTACTTCCCTAATGTTGAAACGGGAATTTCCTTCATTAACGAGAAATAATTTGTTCAGTGATGCAAAATAGCTACTTTTAAAGAGGTTTTCCGGATATAATTTATACCAGTTTCAAAAGAGAATCCACTCAACCTTGCGGCCGATGAAAATTAAGTTCATCAGAGTTGCAAAGAAGTTAAACTATCGCGGGGTCCGAGTAATGATTGTAGCAATTGGTGGGATAGTAATCTCAAGTTCGTTATCGCCGTGCATTACATTCGGTAGACGAGACCATTGCGGGTAATAAAAGTTACCGAAAGCTGGCAAGCTATAAAATTAAATCTGCAACGAGGAGATAAAGGCGAGAGGGAATGCTTTCGAAAGAGATCGAAATTTTCCGCTCTATATCGCTCAACAACCTGGCCGACTTGCGGGGCTCGAATTGTAATTAACGATTCTACGCGCGTAGGAATTATCATCTTCATTTTCAAGATTTCATTTCGCGGTCTCCACGCCCGCGCTTCCCCTTAATTACGTACTATCATACAGGCTCGATGCGCGAAACGGGAGGCGAATCCGGTTAAAGGGATCGGAGGAATTGACAAATTGAATGATAAAGACGATACAGAAATTAATGGCGTTTTAGTTACGGATCGCGCGACATACTCGGCAATCGCGGAAAAGCCACCTAATCCTCTTACATCTTTGCGGACTCGCGTCGGACGCACGCTGACCGACTCTTTGAAAGGTTCGCCCCGTAAGCCCTTAAACCCATCTCGGGCGCAGCAATTCCAGACCAATTTCGAGAAAATTCAATCGTGAAATATACAGCACGGGCAGCGCTGCGAGGATCGACGGATCGACAGAAACAATAAGGACGTGAGACTCAAATCCCTCGTTTCGTGTCGCGTCGTGTGAAACGAATTAAGAATCGATTGGTCATCTCGATTTGTCTGTAAGCTCACCAGCTTAATAGTAGCAACTATGTAATATAATTATGATTAGAATTGGAATGCAATTACACTCGAATCAGGCAAATCAGAACCGCCGTACTTTACGTAGTAAGTAAAGAAGTCGAACGTGATAAAAACACATCTCTTCTCGCTCGAAATTTGATTAAAGAATTCGCAGGGAAGAACGACCACTTACCTTTTGCTGTTGCGTTTGCGCGGGTTCGGTGGCGAGGAGCTGCTTCAAGGCCGCGTGCCCGTGACCATTTGTCGTGGAGGTTGCACCAGGTGTGCTCGGTGTGCTGGGATTGCTTCCGGGGGTGTTAGGCGTGTGAGGCCCGGTCGTGGGGCTGCTAGGACTGATGCTTTCGTTGATTTTGCTGCCGGCATGGTGATTCTCCGTGTGCCTCCTCAAGCTCCTCGCGTCGCAGTAAGACTTGCCGCAACCCTCGGCCTTGCACTCGTACGGCTTCTTATTTCGATGTGTCAGCATGTGTCCGTTCCTAGAACCAGAAAAGTTTGCAATTCGTTAGTTCCAAAGGTCCGTCATATTTTTCGCGTTTGCAAACGAGAGCGAGCGCGCTGCTCTTTCCCGTTTTAGCCTTTTTAATCTCTTCGCGTGAGAAAAAGAACAATCGTACGTACCGCGAGATTAAAACTGAGAAAAGGGATCTCCCTTCATTCTTTCTTTTATAAAAACTTAAATTCAACAACTGACACTCGCGGTAAAAATAATTTTGTAACGCGGTCACAACCCACCATTTGTTACAGCTACGTAATTTCGTTCAGAAATTTAACTTTTTAGAGAGAACCGCCTTTTCCGACAGAGAATCACCTGCTGGCATTTCAACCGGAATATAAATCGACTGTAACATTTCGGTCAGGAAATATCACCGAGGTTGGAATATCCCACGCGCTCTCCCCCATTCGAATTCCTCTCGCATCCAGCATTAATCATAAGAACGTCTCGGGCGACACGCTATATACCATTCGCGAATGCTCGATGGGCACGGAAATCTGATCGTACACCTGCTCTTTAGTGCCCGCCCGAAATTATGTCGGTCCGATTATACCGCTTATCTATATCGGCGATCTACTCCGGCACGGAAATCCCATATACCGCCGGGCACGATTCCCCCCCTGTCTTATCTAGGAGGCGCATCTAAACTCATCCCCAGTGTGTCGCCCTTACACCCCGCCGGAGGGGGTCTCCGCCTAAAGACTTGTCCGCTCCATTTGCCCGGTATTCCTGGGCTGACATCGACGGGGGCAAAACGCGCTCGCGCACGCGAGCCGCACGGGATATTCTGGAAATGAGACCTGGCCATTCTCTCCACATTACCGAAGAGCGCTGGGAAAAGGCGTGGAGATCCGAGGGTGTGTCCGGCGTGCAACAAGTTGCGCGATTTCACGATGCCGGATTACGCGATCGCGCTCGCGATAAAATCCACGACCCCCATTGACGCGATTCGCAGTCGATTTCATCGTTGATGGTCGCAATCGCAAGATTGCCGATCGCCCCCCGATAAGCAGAATAGCGGGGAAACGCAGTGTCTCGATTGAAACACACGATCTGCTTGTAACTGATCCTAACTGATAACTGATCTCCATCTCGTTATTTATATCGATACTCGAGACGCAATGCGAACAGCAAACATTCTATTGTAAAATGTACACGGAGAGAATTTTCTCTTAAATTTCACCCTGAAAATCATGTAATCGTGGGACAATTCTACTAACAAAATGTCATCCACGATGACCCACAATCACACGATTTTCAGGGTAAATTTTAGGAAAAAATTCTCTCCGTGTGTCGAAATTTTTGTGACAAATTATTTTGACACTTCTAAGGATAATTTACACCTACATAGATCAGCAATAACCTACTTTGATGACATATTTTTTACTCTTCCCTTAAATCTTTCATTCTAAAAATTCACTTTAGCTCCTACTTAAAAGGACCTGCTTTAATGCTAAATTGACAAAAGTAGAAATTTCCGACACTATCTGTTTGAAAGTAGGAGTAAATTTTTTGTACTTGCAGTTCTATCTCTTTTACTGCCTTAGGTCCTGTTGCATAATAGAATTAAAGGTTCAACATAGAGCCAAAATTTCGACTCGGGTACGCACTTGTCTGTCGTACAAAACTATACTCTATACGCACACATTGTCACGTCGACCGTTAATTCCAATTGACGATTAATTGCAAGTTAAGACTAATTATTTGGACAATACGCGTTGTCTGGCGTACGTTAAAATTTTTCTGTGCTCGAAAGGAGCATCTCCCGTCCCTTGAAACTTTAACGAGATTCCAGGCGTGGACATCCTTCGTCGGGTCCTTCGCAGTGGAACCTCCCGCAGTGGGTTGCGAGAAGAAGTCGTACGGATACGGCGAGCAACGATGGAAGGGATATCGTTTCCAGTAAATTCTTCGGCAGACGCGGGACCACTCCTATCCGGCAAAGTTTTATAGTCTATCGATATACGAACGGATTCCCTTAAATTCCGCCGGTAAAGTTGGGACCGTGGGGAGGGTTTAATTTGTAAAAGCTAATTTGTCGAACTTTTAAGGTGACCCGTTCCGAGCTCTCCCAGCGTTTTCCCTTCCCGCAGATAATCAGGAACACCTGGGACGTGTCGACCGCACGTGTATCATTCTTCCTTTTCGTTTTCCAGGAGACACGGAAAGGAAGCGAGAGAAACGCGAACGCAGACTCCGCCCTTAGCTTTTACCTGAACGGTCGTTTTCGCTGATCAACCGACGTGTTTTATTAGAATACTTCTTTAATCAGTGCCGTGCAGAAAAAAAACTGCAATTTTTAACGCATCGGTGATATTAAACGATTGAATAAACCGAATTTGATGGCTGTATTTATTTTACAAAATGGAAATTGCTTAATTATTCAGAGAATCAGCGGTCGGGATAACAATTAAACAATAATAATACGATAGTTATGGCAACGTTGATTTCGAGGTTTACGCATAGTTTCGCGGTTATTGTCACATTGTCGTGTTTTTATTCAATTAGCATGCGGACTATAAATATTTTACAATTGTACAGTTTCTACAAATATCATTGTGGCGGTAACAATATGAGATTATAAAAATAATCGAGAATAAACTGCCCCTTGAAAGCGCGTCATTTTAGCAGCAGTTTCATTATCCGGAATTATAGCGAAAGTCACGTCTCATTCGCGAGTTCATCGTCTTATATTATCTCTTAACTTGGTGATGTGACGGCGAAAAGGAAATTATTATTAATTGTTATGAACCTACGCTCGACCGACAACGAGAATTTCTACGAAACTTTAATTGGATCCTGCGAAGGGCCGCGTCGAGGAGCACGCGCAGAATTTTGCCTGGAACGATTAAATCAGCACTAATTATCAACTCTCGATTAGTTCCGCCTGAATCCCAGTAGCCTAACGAGACTATTAACAAGAAAGCCTACCTTTTTACATTTCTTTTTTGCTCTCTCATTACCCAGGTTGGGGACGAATCAGTCTTAACTTGCAAGTATAGAGTCAATTAGTGCTATCGTGGCGTATGCGCTGTTTATTTGATAAATTATAATATATTACTTTTTTGTGAGGTACGCAATACCCTTTCGATGTGGAGATTTGGAAGATTATCGACAGAAAGTCTATTTGTTTCATCTTGTTTTCTTCCCGTAAAAGTTAGTACCAATAACTCCTTGATATAACGAGGGTCACAAGGAAGCAATTATCGAAATATCGAACGCATTCTGAAAAATGAAGCTCTCGACTACAAGCAAAGGGGAGGACTTTGTTTCTCGAAGGGCCAGCTTTCCTCCCCCGCTGCTCACGTTGTCGCTCCTCCCTTTAGTTCCAGTGTCCTCTCAAATCCCTTTCGGGCCGAGGAAGAAGCGGTCGGTATATATCTCCGCGTTCGAAGAAAAGCTCTCGAAGAGAATTCCTCTCGAGGTGTAAGCGCTTCCGTTCCTTATTTCGCACAGCGGCGCTCCGACTCAGCAAAGGGACTACGTGGATTTACTTCGATAACAGAGATACACCGAGAAACGTACAATGGTGCCTTGTTCGATACTGAAGAAATCGACGAAGCTTTCGTTCTGGCAGTCCGTTAGTTCTTTTTTTTTTCGAGAAGCGCGATGTAGGAGCGACAAAGCGTCTATGCCCTTTGTCTTTCGATTAGGTCGTAGGATCCATTTGTATGTTAACAAATGTTTTCTTCATTATCGCGGTTTGATTATTCTTAATTACTTAATATAAAATTAAGATTTTCATCATTCAGTATTAGAGGAAAGTCCTCCATTATGAGACAGCAGGTTTTCAACACCCAAATTCAATCACAAATCTTTTTTCGCAACGATTACACGATCTAACAATGAATTTTCCACTAAACAGACTTCGCTCCAAGAGCAATAAATTCGTAGTGGAATCAACAGATGATGCCGATACTAAGATTTCTGGATAACAAAAGCATCTAACAAAATTGAACGGGTCATTCAAGAACTTAAGATGTAATGAAGTCATCCTATCGGTCTAGGAATCTATCAATTTCATTAAACAAGATTAAAGACACACTCTCTCTCTCTATCACCTTCTTCCTCCTTGTTGTCTTCGAAAAGCAACTTTGCCAATAAAGTCGAAAACTTTGGACATCTCCACACGTTTCAAACCAAGTTCGCTAACCGCGGCACGAATATTATTTGTATACGATTATGCGAAACTATCCCTTTAATAAATCGCCCATCTTGAAAATTAATAAATATTAACTATGACAAACGCAAATTATTCTGTCGCAATAATATTCGTCAATGTGGACGCGTTATCCCCTAGAATTTAGAAAAATTCTAGGTAACGGTTATTCGACAAAAGATCTACAATGGGGGACCTGTCTGGACAAAGAAGGTGAGAGGCAATGGAAACTGTAGTTGCACAGGTCCGCCAATTCTTGAGAGAAGAGAATGAAGCACGGCGAGACTTCGTACCGACTTTTTCCCGTTCTCAATTAAGTTTGAAAGTCCATTCAAACGGGGAATGAAGCTGAAAGATCTCTTCTTTCTCCTCCGTAAAATCTTCGCCCGTGGCACTATTATTGCTCGGGCTGCCTATTATTGTTCCTTCTTTCGTCGCCGCGAACTCGTAATATGATATATATCTAAAGCCTCGAGACGGAATATCGTGGCCCAGGCAATATTGCGGTTACGCTAAATTGCCAATACGTGCTTTATCGGAGGAGCGTAACTCTAAGCGTTTCGCTTTCCAGCATCGGTGATGCAAATCCAGCGAAAAAGCCGGCCTGTTTTCCAAAGTAAAGAAGGAACTCCGGTGGCGCATTCTCCCGATCGCGTACGCCGTACTCGGGAGACGAGGCAGCAGCTTCCGGCGAAAAACAGGAACTGGGGTAAAGACTTGGCGATTTCGCGCATGAGATAGTATCGCACGGTTCGTTTACTTGCATCTCGGAGTATACGGATCCCGACAATCGAGGGGAGGGAATATCGTCCGAAAGCGGCGTTCGATGAAATGGATACAAACAAACGTTTAACTTACGCTAACAAATAAACGAAGACAAGTCCCTTCGAGTTACGAGCAAGATAGTAAATATGATAAGTAAAACAACGCTCGCTCCGATATCGCTGATAAACAAGATAAACCGTGATAACGGAAGTTCGGTACTTTCAAGTACTTATAATCTGTCCGTAGAACATATGTCGAGTAGCGAAAATAAATTGGAGAGATCAGACTTAAGGCAGACTAAGGCAGCAATAAGATTAGTTAAAGTCGATAGATATGTCTTACCTTTACGATCTTCTAGGCAGATTGAACGCTATTATCGTTTATCGGCGGAACGAAAGGGAGAAAGGGAGAGCAGGAGCCACCGTAGGCAGCTCCGCTTCAGAGGAGCCACAAATCCAATGTTCGCAATGAAACGTAAGTAATTCCTCGCACCCTTCCGCCGCGCCGCGCCGGGTCGCATTGAGCGCGACGAGTCGCTAGAGTTTGAGGAAATAGAACGAGGGAAGACATTGAGGAAGCAGTAAAGAAAAGAAAAATACTGTCCCCGCAGAATGGACCTCGCTGGCCGTGGCGGATCCCGAGCACAAGACAAGGGTGAAGGAGCGCAGAGGGGGACGTAGGGAAGGTCGGGGGATTTGAGGATCCGTCTTTCGAGAAAATATAACGTTCAACCTGGCCGAGGTATTCGACCCGTACCGGACGGACAACACTACACAACGACGAAGCCGAACGGAGTCGCGAGACCGACCTCTATTGATTCCGCGTTATTCCTTTGCCCGTTCCCGGCAAGAATTGAATCCTTAGTCGCTATGGTCCGCCTCCATCACTCGCTTTTGTGTGCCGCCCCCCCTCGCCCCTCGTCCCTCCTTGATTCCTATATCCCGCGCTTGTCCATTTTCCTTCACCCGTGTCTCGCGAAGCGAAAATCCTAAATCGTGCGACATAGCGATTTTCATTATATTTAAATGTATCGTAGGTTTCTTGTAAGGGCGTTTTACGTATGCCAATTTTAATCAAATAATTTAGCCAACTTTAGATAGTTGATTTCTAAAGGGAAAGCAGACAAGGTAGATATTGACCCGCTGGATTTGGAGACGGCAGGTTTAAAATACGGCAATGAATGTCTCAACGCAAATTTTTCTTCTAGTCATCCGAATTACTTGATATACGCAACGAAAATTAAATTAATTCGAGAAACGTATATCCGAACGAGCTTTTTCTAGCAGCAACTATTACCGCTATAAATTCACGAGAGTTCTAATACCCGTACGTGCCGATACAAGCTCCGCGAACTCTCTCCCATCCAATACCCGGACAACCGGGCATTACGTAAGGGAAATATCTAAGGGATTACTCTGGCATACCTACGCGTAGAAATTTCTCCAACTACCGGCCTTAAGAAGGCACTCCGGGGCAGCTTAGAAGGCTTCTTACGAGCGCACCAGTAAAGAAGAGAACGCGGAGAGATACATCTACACGTGCACACACGTATAACACACACGCACACTCGTACGCGAGCGATGTGCCTGCGTACACTATTGCCGAAGTGGAGCGTTGAGAGGCTTTGATGAACATAATGAACGGCTCAGTGCCGCGAGCACGAGCGTTTTCCTTTAAGCTCCGGCTCGAGTGTTGTTCTCGTTCTTGTTTTATAGCATGGGGAATCCGTAATATGCCCTATGACGCTCGAATTGAGAAAGAAAAGGCGATGCGAAAAGGCAAATAGATCTGCCCTGCCCGTAACGACGGGTGGAAACGCGAGAACAGCTGATCGAAAGGCGGAACTCTGGGAAAAAAAGACAGCAACCCACTTTGGAGCCCACGATTAGTAATTGAATTATTTGGATTGTTCGTAACACTCTAATCTTTTACGAATTTTACCCTGCGTAACTAAAAATCGCAATTAGCTATTCTATCTATATCCAAGATTTTTAAGTAATACTAATCAATTTTCTCAATTGGTTCTGTCGACATTCAGTAACGCAAAGATAATTTTCACTGAAGAGGCACTAACCGAAATGTTAAGTTGCTTAACTAAAAAAAAAACGGTCAAAATGTTTCCCAGAGTAGACTGTTACGAACAATTCAAATAATTCGATTACTAATTGTGGGTCCCAAAATGGGTTGCTGTTTTTTTTCCCCCAGAGAAAGCTAGACAATTGCGCTTTCTTCTAAATATAGTATTGCTCTCTACGCGCGACGAAAACGCAAAACCTGGCCAGCGATTTTCATTCGTCGCTCTACGGATCTTTCCATTTACCGACACAAGTCGACACGAGTATCACTTTCTCCTTGTTGTTCACCGGATGTTGAAAACAGACTGATGCCCGTGTCGACTCGTGTCGCTAAATGAAAAGTACCGCTAATAAATAATTCGGAATTGCAATCTGGCTAGAACAATTCTCTACTGTCGGAGAACTGGAAATCTTACAGCTACCGGCTGACAGCTTATTTCACGAAATTTGCCATAATCGCAACTGTAACGCTGATCCTCTGACATGAATGTACTCTAATCTGTACTCACAGGTGGTCCTGCCGTTTGAACGCCTTGCCGCACATCGTGCACACGTATTTCCTCTCGTCACTGTGCGTCAGTTTGTGCTTCGTGAGCGCCGATGCGTTGTTGAACACCTTCCCGCAGACCTGCAACAGAGAGAAACGATCTTCGTTGTAGCAACGACGTAGACGAAAATTACACCTGGCGCCTGTCGAATCGCGGCTACGCGCAATTACATTACACTTGCCAGTGAATGCACCTCTCTCGATCACCACGATGTTGAGGAAACGACCACGTCGTGTGCGCGAATATCTGAAATTTCCTTTTTTCCCCTCCACCGAGCTGACGAGCGACGCGCGAAGTAGAGTCGGGCGAACTCTGTTTTAAAACTGCGCGACAAATTGAAGCGCATGGCCATAATTTTCAATTAGCACGCATGGCTACCGTAAAGCGAGGACATCGCTTTATGACGGACATTAGAACAGTGATATGGCTATCGCGCGGCGCATAAACGTGGATCTCCCTCGTATTCGCGAGCTTACCGCGCACGACGGAGCAATTGTTGCGTACAGTATCGCCGATAAGAATAAATTCGCAATTTCTGAACGGCGATAATCACGTTGTCAACATGACAGAGTCGTCGCGCTTCGAAAGCAAGTATTTCTTATTTGTTCTATTGTGCACTATGCTCAATCTCGCTCAATATTTCAAAATTCAGAGCGGCTATAAAGTCCTCGTGTAGCTTTAAAGTTCCATTGTTCCCGTTCTGCGCATAAAATACTTTACAGGATTAATCTATAAAAATTAGAAATGCAAGAATTTCAAGAAGAAATATATGTAAGTAATACATTTTAATAAGTATGGAAACGACCTTACTGGCAATTATAATAAAATACAACGTTTCGGCCAGTAATACTGATCCTCTTCAGGTAACAAACTTACAAGACCGCCTACAAATGTAAGATTCGTCAGATTAAAGATGTGAAAATTAAGTTATAAGTGAGAAATTTCGTTGTACAATGTGTCTTGTCATCAACGTTAGAAAACATTCTGTTTTGAAACGTTGTGTTTTATTATAATAAAGACTTGCCAGTAAGGTCGTTTCCATACTTATTAAAATTCGTGATTTCTTGACTGGCCTCACTAAGCTGCTATTTAGTTGTAAGTAATAAAGTTGGATAAAAAAATGGAAATTCTTTCGTTTATTCTTCTTAATTTCGTTTCTATAAGAAAAAAAGCCCGGACGTTGTGGAAGTTTAGGACACAAAGACCTTACGACCACTCGATGTTCCAGGAACGTGGAAGATATTCGTCATTCTTTCGTGTCGCAGAATTAAATTGGCTATTCTCGCCGCAAAATTATCGAAATGGAACAACGGCAGCGAAGATTTCGCGGCGTTAATGCTTCCCTGATGAACGATGCCATTTTCACCCGTTCTACTGAAGAATAAGAGATCGCCAGCATCGTCCGCAATAGACACGTAGAAATTGCTCGCGGATTTAACGTCGACCACGTCGTACGCCACCGGTCCCAGAGATGGTATGCCCGTTAAGTATGTGGAATTAGGTTTATTATACGCGCCTCTGGGTCGCGCACTATTTCAGGAACTATTTCAGGAAGGCAAAGGCCGAGGAATTGAATGCGGCCGGTGTTCCACCCGAAAATCCAATGCCTCGTTCAAATGGGCGACGAGTCCACCTTCGTGGAAAATCGTGCGAATTCCGCGGGTCCATGAACGACAGGAACGATTAACATTTCCAATAAATTTGCCCTACGTCTTTCGTCACGAGCTTGTCTCCGCCTCTCGAAATGCCACGCATATAATATAACGACGCGGTATTATCGAGCAACATCGGCAACACAAAAAGCAACATGATTAAAATTGTAAAACAAATATGTACAATACTTCTCTGTATTATTATTCTGCAAAATAATATGCGAGATTTGTGCGAACTTCGAAACAAATTAAGGAATCAATATAATTGAAATGTAATTTTGTAACTTTATAACGTCGGTGAATTTCCTTTTTTTGTAAATAACGTAAGGTTGTTAAATCTAGTCTAAATAGTTAATTTACCGTAAATAATGATCTACCTATCTCCCGTGCTATCGTAACATTACACGCAAATATCACGTTCCTGATAAAAGAAATCTCGATATTCGTAGAAAGAAAATACGAAAAACGAACGAAGCACATTGATCAGATCGTATTATACTTAGCAAATGAGATTGATAATTCGAGAGATATAGTATTGCGAGATGGCTAAACTCGCTCTAATGGCCTGCCCGAGGAATCCCGTGGACGAGATTCGGAATATCACGTCTCGAGGGCATCGGGAATTCGTCGTCACGTCGAAGGATTCGCGGTGCCGGCGCCGCGGCATTAAGCCGAAATTAATTTCCAATGCACCTGCGGCCGCCGCGCCACGTGACGACGCGGAAAACGTGCGATGGCACGATTCCGGGCCTCCATTATCGGAAAAGTCTTTTCCGCTTCTCGTTTCGCTGTTATTTCCAATCGTTCGATAGGCGCCGTACATGAATCGCCGGCGATTCCGGCGAGACGAGAAAAGCCGAATTCAAAGTCGCTTCTCTGAATGGCGAATCTCTCTTTTGACTTTTGAGAAACTGCGTTTACTTCGCGAAGGAGGATGGCAGTGTCGATTGTGTTCATCACATTATTTGGAGTTGATCTTGCAGTAACACGCGAAAGTGATGTAAAATTCAATTTTTTATGTATAATAAAGTCGAGCAAGATGGGTTAAAAGTTAAAATTAAAAAATTTTTAATCACTTTTATCATCTGCGTGTACTGCGATATTATTTAAATAAAAAAAAATCGTGGAAACGATACAGAGAGAGATAGATAGAGAGACGCTGGCTTTTCGGTAGAAAAAAGAAACTTGTTGACATCCGGCGGAATACGAACTTCCTGCGGAATCCTCGCAAGCACTCATGCGAAGCGATACTATTTAACCATGAGCCACGGTTGCTATGACGACTCACGTATAGCTTAAACGGTACAGTCTGTCGGCAAACATTTGCCGGGATCCAGCAAACAGGCAACAAATTCCATTTCATGAAGGAACGAGCGTACATAACGAACGTTCTCGAGAAAACGAGAAGTACCCTCCAACATGACAGAAGAAATTTCCGGGCCATAGATAGAAAAACTTCACGTCGCCTCCACTACCGAGAGCAAATCCCAGATTAAAGAAAAAGGTATTAAGACGTTCCTGACGCGTCGCGGATAATATTGACCGAAGACATGAAGCGGACCGGCGCGGCGGGGGAAGAGATAAGGGAGGGAACAGGCGAGAGAGCAGGGGGAGCGCAGATAAGAGGACGCGAAAACTACGGGAATGAAAAAAAACGGAGCCAGAAGTGACACAAACGCCAAGATTCGAGATGTGTAGAGATGGCGGCCGTATATATTCACGAGGTGGGATGAACGTTTGCGCACGGTCTCGTGGAGGTCTCGCAGGAGCCGAGGGATGAAAAGGGGCGAAACGCCAAGGGAAAGGGGGAGTCGTACTTCTGGCTCCTAAGCAGAAAATCTAATTTGCGTAGCTTAACTCCTAAGGAGCTCCAGATGCACGGACGCCAACACACGGGAGTTTCAATTTACGAGGCGAGGACCGAGACCTGGGAGAAAGATGAGAGAGGCTGTTGGAGTGACGGAGAGGCGGTACTAGAAACGGCAGATGGCGAGATGGGGGATAAGACAGAAAGAGAGAGAGAGAGAGAGAGAGAGAGGGAGGAGGATCCGAAGGAGGATGCTGCGGAGAGAATCTCGACCATGGGTACGGTCTTTCGCGTCCCTCGCCCATCATCTCCGTGCCAAAACCCGTATCTTCCCCCCGGCGCAGACCCTCTTCTCAAGAGCTAAACAAACATCATTACTCCTGGCCTTTCTGGCTACCACTCTCTTTGCCAACTCACCCCCTCGCCACGATCTCTGGCCGCACCTCGTCTGTACGGGACGGTTCTCCGGCCGTCTCCACTTGGCTCGCGACTGCAGCCTGTAGCGCCGCGGCCAATGTACACCGGCCAACATCGGGCCCTGAATACGTAATCCCGCGGGTGGTAACGTTGATACTTCGTTAAGAGGGAGAGGTGCGCGCGGGAGGGCATTTGGACCGAACCGCTGGTCGGGGTAGGCAACCACAGAGCGATTCATGGCTTGAATCGGTCCTATCGATCGGCCGATCCGCTTAACGGTCGTTCCGACCAACCGCATTCGTCGTGGCCGCTTCCAATGAGATGAAGTACGAGTATGAGGGACCGGATGTGAAATCGCGCGTGCCACCAGGCGAGAGCTCCGGATGTTACATTCTGAAGTTTCGAGGGAATTACGAACGAGAGGATTTCCGTCGAAAGCGGTTATCATTCACTCTTTATGCACTTGCCCTCAATGATGCTCCACTCAATCTAATAACTGATCTGAATCGTGTCTCTAGTAATCACGGAAATGAGAGAACTAAGCGACTGTCCGCGACATTCGTACGGCTTCTTGAAAAGTCGTCGTAAAAATATTACGTATTGTTAGAATATAGATGGCTATAATTTTAACCGTAGAGGAAAGTCCTCTATTATGAGACAGGTTTCTAATATAAGATAGCAGGTTTTCAACACCCAAATTCAATCTTATTTTCTTTTCGCAACGATTACACAATGTAACGATGAATTTTCCACTAAACAGGTTTCGCTCCACGGGCAATAAATTCATAGTGGAATTAACCGATGATGACTTTTAATTTAACAGAAACCTATCCCATATTTCCTCTATAACCTTACTTGCAAAATGTACATTGTTAAATGATGCTAGACCATATATGAAATTAGACACGCAATTTTTACACGCAGTGGTGATTTAACTGCGAGCATTGACACTCAGCAAAAGAAAAGGTAAGGAAAAAGAAAGGAAAGAGATTATTTCATTATTTCAAGTTCGCTAAAGTGAACAGCCGCCGCACGCGGTTCATAGATAAGACGCGTCTGCGGCCTCATCCGGTTAACGTTTGTTCCAGCTAACCACGTTCGCGTCCCGTCCCGAGTTTTCTTCCAGCGGAGGCTGGAAGCGGTAGCTAACCCCAAGGGGGCGAGGCCGCTGGGCGAATGCAATTTGTCGCTTCCGGGCAGGCGA